AAGCTAAAGTAGATATTTTTACTCTAAAAGCTTTAGAATATATTATATAATTACTATCTCTTCTAATTCTTAAAGAGCTATTAAGTTAAGTATACTATTATATTAATAGAGTATTCTAGCGCGTTATTATCTAAGCGTAGTTTTTAATATATTATAGTCTTTTATAGTATAATATATAGTAAGTATTATATTTTATTTAAGAGCTTATATTATAAGCTATATCTAAGCTTCTTTTTAGTCTAATACTACGTTACTACGTTAGAGTATAGTAAGAAAGATAGAGTTTTAGTAGAGTCTTAGTAAAAGCTAACTACTTACTTATACTAACTACTTACTATCTATTTATATAATATTTAGATAGTTACTCTTATAAAAGAAGTTATATAAAGAAGTTAAAAGTAGTAAGAAATATCTAGTTAATAAATTATAGTCTATCTATAATACTAGTAATAGCTATACTAGATTTAAGATAAAATACTAAGTATAGATTAACGTATATTAATAGAACGCTAATATATTACTTAAACTAAGTACTAAGTAATAGTAGATATTTACTAGAGTTACTACTATTACTTTACTTAGATACTAAGCTATATTAGAAGTTAGATATATACTTTCTATATAGAGAGAAATTTATTATAAACTTATACTCTATTCTAATACTTCTATAGTTACTAATATATATAGTAGCTACTTTTATAGTAATTTATTTTCTTATCTAAGCTTTTTATTCTATAGCTATTAATAAAATAGTCTACTATTATATAGTTATTTTTAAATCTAGCGTTAAAAAGTATTAATCTAGTCTTTAGTTTTCTAGTATAACTTTTACTAACTCTTTTAGTTTCTTTTTCTTTTCTATATAATTTAGATAGTAGTAAACTTTATAATAATTTATAAACTTATTTTAAATAATCTTCTCTATTACTAGATAAAAACTACTAGATATATTTAGATTAATAGCGTAGAGAGTTAAATAAGATAGAAGTAAAGATTTCTAGGTTATTAATAAGATAAAATAATTAATAGTTTAAAATATATACTAATAAACTAATCTCTATAGAAAATAAAGATATAGAGCTAGTAATATAGTAACTAGATTATCTACTTTTAGTAATACTATTTAGCCTTACTAGAGTTTAAGATTAAGTTTCTTACTATTATAATTTATATAGCGTCTAAGTTATAGAATAGAGTAGTAAGTCTTATATAGTAAATAAAGTAGAAGATAAAAACTAGCTAGTATAATATAGAATAGTAAGATCTATATCTAGGCTTTAGAAAGTATAGTAAGTATTTATTATAGGCTAAGCGCTATTAAGAACTCTATTACTAATAATACCTAGTAATAACTTTTATATAAGCTAAGCTAGAATACTATAATTAATATAACTTATACTTTTTTCTAATTATTCTATCTATAATATCTATATCTAACTATACGATAGTATTACTAGAAGATTACTATTATTATATATATACTTAAAAAGAGAAAGTATATCTTAGAGATAAAGTTATTATATAGTTATATAACTAATAGCTTTTTATATAAGTACTATAATTAGTAGATAGTAAAGAGAAGTTTAAGTTATAGCGCTTAGGTAGAGAAACTAAACTTCTTTTAAACGTAGATATAATAAAGTATACGCTATACTATAAGTAGAGATTATTACGCTCTATATAACTAACTAAATATAGTATACTACTATTAGTATATATATAGCTAAGTTCTACTAATTTTATTTAATTAATTCTACTTAGTTAAGTTATAGCTACGATTCTCTACACTTTTCTCTATAATCTAATAGACTAGTAGTACTAATAGTATCTATCTAAAAGAGATTATTATTATAAAAAGATAGGCTATTCTTTCTTCTATTAAAGAAATTCTTTATATTCTTTTCTTAAAATAATTTTAGAAGCGCTTTATTATATCTTCTTATACTTTTAAATATCTTAGATTTATTATACTCTAGAACTTTTATTAGCGTATTAAAAACTTTTATAATATTTCTATTAAAAGTATTAGCTATATATCTATACTTATCTTTTCTATCTTTAAAGCTCTAAAGATTAATATAAGTAAGTATAGTATAGATACTTAGAACACTATCTAAGTATCTTAGAAACTCTATCTATAGCTTATCTAGCTATCTAAAGTAGTCTATTACTTTATAAAACGCGCCTAAATAATAATATATACTTATCTAGCTTTTTAAAGTAGTTTATATATATACTATACTATTATCTAGCTAGACTTATAGAGCTTCTATATTACTAAGCTAGAATAGATTAAGTAGAAAGTTTATTTACTTTTTTATATTAATATTATAAAAGTTAGAGCTAAACTAATTATTTCTATTTAGATAGAAGAGAAAAAGTTTAAAGAGTTCGCGATAGTACTTACACTATTACTAGTTTATAGAATCTAATATATAAAGTATAAGAGATTATATAATTAAGAGTATAGCTTAGTGTTTTTTAATATTAGTTAGTAATATAGCCTTTATTATTATAATAGCGTAAGAAGATAAGATATACTATATTAAATTAGCTATCTAAAGTAGACTAAGCTATATATATAGATAGCTATAATAAACTATTCTAACTTATACTAGAGTAGCTTTAGCTAAGACTATAGACTATTATAATTATATATAGAGATATAGTAGTAAGAAAGAGAGCTAAGTATATTAAATCTCTTAAGACTAATAGTAGTAAGCTCTAATCTTATAATATCTAGTATTATAATATAGTATATAGTATCTATAATCTCTAGATAATACTATTCTAGCTTTACTATAGTAGCTCTATATAAGATATTATATATAATAGCTATATCTCTATAGCTCTATAAAAGAGGCGTTACTAACTAGTAGCTATAGTATTCTACTAATAAAAAACTCTATAGTTATTTACTAATCTATATACTATATATAGCTCTAGCTACTCTATTCTTAACTTTTATAAACTTTTATAATCTAGTATAGATAGCTATTCTTTTTCTTAACTAGTTTAACTATATATTAGAAGTATAATTATCTAAATTACTTTTATATCTAACCTTACTCTTACTCTTCTCTTTATACCTCTTTTCTAGTACTTCTCTAGTACTTTCTAATTATTTAAAAGTAGATAGTTAGTATTATATTCTACTTACTTATCTACTAGCTAATAGAGTATAGTATTCTAGTAGAGTATATTTTTTATTTTTTTACTAGATAAGTAAAGTTTAAGTAAAGTCTAAAGTAATTATAAAAGATAGCTAAGATCTAATAAGTCTTAAGTAAATACTAACTTCTAATACTTCTAATAATTTTAATAATTCTAAAACTCTAGCTAGTAAGTAGTATAAAGTAATAGTATAATACTATAGTAGTTTATAAGCTTTTAGCGCAATAACTAGTACTATCTTCTAAGATAAGTAATATAATAACTCTACGTAGACTATTAATATAGTAAAGTATACTAACTCTACTTAAATCTATAATATAGTAAACTAATATACTCTATACGCCTACTCTTTATAATCTCTTAATATATATTATAGTATTAAGAAAGCTTTATCTATTACTACTAGCGTAAGCTTAGTTACTCTAAATATTAGCTAAATCTCTTTTAAAAAAGATAAGAAATTTATTATTATTAACGCTAGAGACTATTATATATCTAGTAATAAGTATAATCTAATTTATAGAACGTATAGTAGAGATAATCTTATTTAGAATAACTTAGACTACTACTAGAAGTTACTCTACTATATAAATAAGTAAACCTTTAAACTAGCGTACGCTAAAGCTATTTTAAACTACTACTATAATTAGCTTCTAGCTATTCTTAGTTACTTTAATAAATAGTATAGTTAGATAACTAAATACTATAAGTCTAACTTTAATAGAGTTCTTTTACTATTATTAGAAGGTAGAGATAGAGATATATCTTAGATAAAGTAGTTTAGTACTCTACTAAGGTTAATAAAGCTATATTATAATTTTAATAACTACTTTTATTAGTACTCTTACTCTCTAGTATACTCTATATCTTACTAAAAACTAAATTCTCTACTACACTATATTATACGCGAAAATCTAAATCTTATATACTCTTTAAATTACTCTTTAATATACTTTTATTCTTACTTATCTTTAATAGCTCTAACTTATACTCTTAAAATAACTACTACTAGAATATTATTAGCTTCTAATTATTATAAAGCTACTATAAAAACTATAGCTAATACTATTATAAAACTATATTATTATAGGCTAAGCGCTATTAGAAATATAAGTCTTATTACTAATAATATTATATAATAATCTATATATAAGCTAAGCTAGAATACTATAAATAATATAATATATAACTTAAAAGGTTAATATAGAGTAGTATAAATATATTCTAGTAGTTTCTCTGCGCAGATAGTCTATTTATAAAAACGCATTATATAGAATATGCGCAATTAGTAGTACTTAGCATGCAGTAGCGTGCATTAGCGTGCTCAGATATCTTTGTGCCGGCCCGCACGCTGTGGCTGAGAACTGCAGCTTTGAGCACTCCGCCCCAGGAAGCTCTTATTCCCGACTTTGCAGGCAGCTGTGCGCAACAAAACAGTATCTTTACGTCTAATTACACGGCCTACATCGCTGCGCACCCTTCCTCGTCGACATGAGTCTTGCGAGACGCTAAGATAGCAGTCTAAATGGAACTGCTCTAACGTTAGCCGCTGGCACCCTGCCCACGTGTGCAGTAATCTAACGTGAGTTTAGAGAGCAAATGCTGTCTAGCACAAGATGTGAGGCGGGGCGGCACAGGATGCTCGATGTGCCTAGCATCCGCTTAGCCTGGCCGCATGCATTGCCTTGACAGGCAGCCTTTACAACAGCCCCGCGCAAGCTTCCTCTGCATGCTTCTCTCTGTTGCGACGATGCTTTTCTACTCTCGATACCTCTAAAGTCGTTCGCGCTTTACTATTCCTAGGCTAAGCTAAGATTGCAAACGCTATGCGGCTTCTCTACTATAACGCGCTGAGAAGGCTTGTCTTGACAGACTTCCGCGGCAAGACGATCCCGCCCTACGCCATTCTGTCGCACAGATGGAGCGCCTACGAGATTCTCATCGAAGACATATCGAATGGAACCTACAAGGAGAAGGAAGAAGGCTATCGAAAGCTCCAGTTTTGCGCTGAACAGGCGGCCCAGGACGGGCTGCAGTACTTCTGGATCGACACATGCTGCATCGATAGATGGAACCTGCGCGAGCGCTCGAAAGCAATCAACTCGATGTTTCAGTGGTACAAGAATGCGACACGATGCTACGTCTTCTTGTCAGACGTGTCAGTGGCGACTGCAACAGAGCCGGTCCAACGCAGCGACTGGCAGGCATCATTCCGTGCAAGCGCATGGTTCACTCGGGGATGGACGCTCCAAGAGCTGATTGCACCAGTGTCAGTCGACTTCTTCTCACGTGAAGGATATCCTATAGGCGACAAAGCGTCGCTCGACCAGCTTATCCACGAGATCACCAACATCCCGCTCGCGGTGTTGCGTAACTGTCCTTTAGACGAGTTTAGTACATCCAAGCGAGAGAGATGGGCCAAAAGTCGCGAAACAACAGAAGACGAAGACATTGTTTACTGCCTGCTTGGGATTCTTGGTGTTTCTATGCCCACCGCGTATGGCGAAGGACAGAAGAGTGCACGACGCAGACTGCAGGCGGAAGTAAAGGCAGCTGCTAACGCACCGTCGATAATTCCATTCTCACAAAACCCCCGCTTCGTAGGCCGAGAGTTACAGCTCACTGAGCTAGAAGCAAGGCTCTTCAGCAACGAACACACCACTACCACGCTAGCAATCGTTGGCCCTGCCGGAACAGGCAAATCGCAGCTTGCGCTCGAGGTTGCACACAGAACAAGGCAGCACAACAAGAAACGCTCGGTCTTTTGGATGGACGCGAGCGACAAAGACAGTCTCTACCAGTCGTATGCAAGTGTTGCGCAGAAACTTAGCGTTCTAGGCTGGGACGACGATCAAGCCGACATGAAGCAGCTTATAAAACGCTGTCTAGTAAAGATTAGTGCTCGACAATGCTTGCTGATCTTCGACAACGCAGAGCACACCACTATGCGATCTAGCGGCTCGTCTACGACAGAAGCCGCAGACCTAGCCGACTGTCTACCGCAGTCTAAGCTATGTTCTATTATCTTCACGACAACGAACAGCGACTCAGCTCAGGCGCTCGGTTCACAGAACGTTGTAGAGCTGCGAGAGCTAAAACTAGACGCGGCGCTGGGGATGCTGCAAGTCAGCTTGGAGAGGCCAATCACAAACGCTGAGCAGCAAGAAGCCGAGCACTTGCTGAGAGAGCTATCATATCTGCCTCTAGCAGTCATGCAAGCAGCGGCCTGTATGAAGGCTAGCGGTATGACGGTGCAAGAGTACCGATCACGACTAGACGATTATAAAGAACTCACTACTAAGCACAGCGATGACTCGTCTAGGGGTAGACTACAAGATACTAGCGTGAAAGACCCCGTAGCTGCTGCGTTGTTTGTCTCTATAGACCAGATCAGTCGTAACAATGTGTTTGCCGCAGACTGTCTGTTTCTTGCTGCATGCGTAAACCAGAAAGATATCTCGCTTGATCTTCTAGAGGCAGCCTCGATGCAAGCAAGAGAAGATGCTATCAGGGTACTTAACACGTATGCGCTTGTCACTAGACGACCTGCTGAGTCTGCGTTTGATATTTATCGACTAGTCCACCAAGCTCTACGCAAGCGGCTGCAAGTGGAGGGGCGGCTTATGCAATGGACTCAACGCACGACCGCACAGCTACTTCAGGTGTTCCCAGGCAGCGATCATAGTAACAGAAGCAAGTGGAGACGACTGCTTCCGCATGCCCAGTATGCTCTGTCGCATAGTCCGGCGGACGATGACCACGAGGCAAGATTACGCCTTGCATCAAAATGTGCTACGACTCTGTTTAGTGACGGACGGTATGAGGAGGCTGAAGAGCTGCAGGTGCAAGTGATGCAGGCGAGGAAGAGAGTGCTTACCAACGAGCATCCTATGACGCTGAAAAGCATAGGCAACCTAGCGGCGACATACTCAACCCAAGGGCGATGGAAGGAGGCCGAAGAGCTGCAGGTGCAAGTGATGCAGGCGAGGAAGAGAGTCCTTACTGATGAGCATCCTAGTACGCTGGAAAGCATGTCTAACCTAGCGGCGACGTACGGGAACCAAGGGCGATGGAAGGAGGCCGAAGAGCTGCAGATGCAAGTGATGCAGACGTTTAAGAGAGTGTTTAACGACGAGCATCCTAGTACGCTGACTAGCATAGCCAACCTGGCGGTGACGTACGGGGACCAAGGGCGGTGGAAGGAGGCCGAAGAGCTGGAGGTGCAAGTGATGCAGGCGAGGAAGAGAGTGCTTACCGACGAGCATCCTCACACGCTGACCAGCATGGCCAATCTCGCGTTCACGCTGCAGTCACAAGCTCGTAACAAGGAGGCTCTTGCACTGATGGAAAGATGCTTCCAGCTACGTAAGCAGGTTCTTGGCGAGCAACACTCTGATACACAGTCTTCGCTCAACATGCTTACCAGCTACCGAGCGGAGTATAAGTAAATTTATAGTGAGACAACTTTATTATATTACTATTATCTATAGATCGTAAAGTCGGGTAGTGCAGCCGCTATCCGGAAATAAGAATTATTTAAGGCAACAAGCTTAGCCTAGGATCGCAGGTCTCAGCTACAGCTCGCAGGCACGTAGATATCTTAGCACGCTACTATAAGCTACTATATACTAAGAGCTACTTAAGTTATATAGCTAGGTAGACTTATTTTATTAATCTTACTATTTACGTAGAGAAACTACTAGAACGTACCTATAGTACTCTAAGTTAACCTTATAAGGCTATAGTCTTAATCTTTACTATTTTAGCTTTCTTTTTAGCCTACTAAGCTTTTTCTAAATATATACTATTATAAATAGATAAGAAAGTATTAGAGGTAAAGTAGAGAATAACGTTAATAGAATAAGCAATAGTACTATTAATAATATATTTTTTAGCGTTAGAGACTAATATTCTAAGAGAATAAGGCCTAAAGAATAGATACGCGTTGTACTTATCTATATTTAAGAATACTAGAGGTAATCTAGAGATCTAGAAGAGAAAGCGTTCTATTATATTATATATTATAGTATATCTAGATTAACGTTAGCTAAACTAGCTACTAAAATAGAATATTATTTTCTAATAACGCCTAAAGAAAAGAGGTTAGAGAACGGCTTACACTAATAAGATAAACTTAAGAGTAAGCTTATCTTAGTAATTCTACTATAGCTAACGCTCTCTACGTATCTAGTATAAGTATAATACTAAGCTAATTACTATTTCTTAGTAGAGAGTAGAGTAATTAAAGATAAAATTTAGGTTATATTTAATATAGTACTATATATATTCTTACGCATTCTATTTTAAGAAAATACTTAATCTATATTTACTTATCTCTATATACTTTAAACTTAATATAGAGTATTATTAATAGAATTAGAACTAGCCTTAGACGTAGAACTTAATATTATAGAAATAGTTTAAATATAGTAGCTATATTACTTTATATAAGATTATAAAGTATTTTAAAGCTTATATAAAGTATAAAAGAGAAGTTAGAAAATATAATATAGCTTAGATAAAATAGTAATTAGCGTATAAATATAGATATAAGAATAAGAAAAAAATATATAAATATTCTTTATAGCTAGAAGAACTAAAAGAACTACTTCTAGATAATTACTAAATAAATAAAGATAATATTTATTCTCTCTCTATAGTACTAAGTTATTAGCGTATAGAGAGAGTAGCTTTAATAGTTTAGAATCTACTTTAATAAATACTCTAGGTACTAGTAGTAACTATATAAATAGCTAGAAGATATAGTTCTATAAATCTCTTAAGTATACTATTATAAGTATATCTTATTTACTAAAGATATCTTATAAAGATTATAACTAAAACTCTTTCTACTTTTAATATACTTTAAGTACTTACGTCTAAAATACTTACTAAGATTATCTAGAGTACTAAAGAGACGTATACGTTATACTAATAGTAGTTCTGTATTACTTAGATAAAGAAAATATATCTTTAGCCTCTTATTCTTAAATACTAAGATCTTAGCTACTTCTAATACTTTTTTATTATAGTTTAGCTAGCTCTTAATAAGTAGAGTAGTATTTCTACTCTACTCTTCTATTTAGATAGAGTTTATTCTCTTTTTTTTAATACTATAGTATAGAGTAACTATATAAATAGCTTTATTACGCTTATTAATCTTCTTTTCTATAGTAGCCTCTAGATTTAATAGAACTAAGTTAGCTAGCTTCTCTTAAGCTAGAAGTATAATATTATAAATAAGCTTTAGGTTATTCTTAGATTCTAAGCTAGTAAGCTACTACTTAATATTACGTATAAGCTATTTAAACTTCTAGTATTCTTTAATATCTTTAAGAAGAGCGTGCTATTAGCGCTACTTTTTTTAGCTAATCTTAGAGATAAGCGCTTTATACTTAGAAAGTTTTATTATATTAGAAACTATATATTTAAGTTACTTTCTTTAGTTAAGTTAAGAATAGATAAAAGAGTTATTATCTATAGATATAAACTATTTCTATATAAGTTATTATAGCTAGTAATAATTAATTAAATAGCTTATAGTATAAGCTATCTATATAAGAGCTATCTAGAGCTAGATATCTTAAATAATAGCCTACGTGTTAACTATAATATATTATAGAAGATAATACTTTAAGAATATTAATATACTAGTATAGTCTATTATTAGATTCTATATAGCTTTACTAATATTATCTATATACTATATTAATTCTATATTCTATATTACACGCCTTATATTAAATAGATTAACTTACTATTCTTATTAAACGCTTTCTTTCTAGTATATCTAAGTAAATAGAGATAAGTAACTTAAGTAAATCTTATAACTTTATCTAAAGTCTAGATCTATAGTAGTAGAGTAGAGTAAGAAAAATACTTATTAGAAGAAATACTCTAACTATATAGAGTCTATACTACTTTCTAAAATATAGAAATATTATCTAATATCTAATTTAAGCGTAATAGTAGCTTATTATAGTCTAGTAGAATTATTAACTTACTTAGTTTCTTTAAAGAGATTAGATTATAAGCTATAAATACCTAATTATAGAAGAGTAGACTAAGAAGAAAAATATATAAGCTAAAGAGAAGCGTTTAATTATATATAATCTTAGAGAGAGAAAAGATATTTCTTAGAGAAAAGTTAGTAGGCGTATAAGTTCTAGTATAGAATAATTATATATAAGTTTTTAATACTAAGAAACTTTTTTATAAATTTAAAGATAAACTATAGTAATACTTAATAAAAGCTACTTTTAGAATTCTATAGTAGCGTAATCTATATATACTAGTAGTAGAGTTTAAAAAGAGTTTAGAGTTAATTTACTATAAATCTATCTAGTTATAGATAAAGCTAGACTTATATCTAATAGCGTTTATAGAGATATCTCTTTCTAGTTATTACTAGATTTATTTATAGCACTTACGCTAGATTCTTAATATATATATAAGCTTTATTCTAGCTAATTTTCTTTAGATTATATTTTTTTATTAGCTTTCTTAGTACTTATTAATTATATTAGATAGTTATACTTATAACACTAAAAGAAAAGTCTAGCTATATATACTTTATATATACTTTAGTTTATTTTACTATCTAGTCTTATACTAGTTACTCTTTTATATACTAGATAGAAAATCTTCTAATACGTTTCTAAAGAACTAGCTAACTTAGTCTCTTAATATTTTCTACTTTTCTTTTTCTTAGAGTAGATAAGTAGCTACTTAAAAAACACGTATAAAGTAGTAATAGATATAGTTATATAATTATAATTTTAATCTTACTCTAGATGTATTTAGTATCTATACTAGAGTAAGTTTATACTTTCTAGCGTAAGCTTTAAAAAGAATAAAAGATATACTAATTCTACTAATCTTTTATATAATTAAGTAAGTAAGTAGTATTATTCTTATAGTCTTCTTTTATATACTTTTATTTATTAAAATTCTCTAGTTATTAAAGATAGTACGTAGATAGATAATTCTTATTAGGTAAAAGCTATACTTTATTCTTATTACTTTTATTCTTAATATTAGTAAATTCGTTAATATCTATCTAATTAGTATCTAGCTCTATACTATTATATATATTAGATCTAGTATAATTACTATTATAAAAGAAAGTCTTAACTAGTAAATATTATTATATATTACGTAGTATTTATAGAGATATAGAAAAGATAAAGTAAGTAGAGATAGAGTATATAACTAAAGCTATATATCTAAGATAAGGCGTAAAAAGAGAATAGAATAATATAATAAGAATTAAACTATAAATAATAATATAGACTATAAAAGAAAAATAAGAAAAGAAAAATAAAGTCTCTATTAATATTACTCTAGATAGTAAGAAAGAAGTCTTTAATACTCTACTAGTAGAATAATCTTAGGTTAGTATTTACTTATAGTATTTAGAAAAGTAAGTTAAGTTATAAGTATACTATAGTATCTCTAATAGAAAACTAAATTAGCTCTTAGACTTATTTAATATCTATACTAGCTAAGGTAGAAAAGCTAAAGACGTTTCTACTTAGGCTATAGTCTATATAATTAGAAGAGTTTTATAGTAAGTTAGTATCTAGAAATAGTATTATAAACTACTAAATTTAGTAGCTAAATTACTATTAAATTATTTAAAATAGTAAGCTATATATATAATATCTAAGTAATTATAAAAAGTCTTATTAATAAAGGTCTAAAATATCTCTAGTATATTATATAGGCTAAAGAGTATAACTAAATACTTATAGAGTTTATAGCATATTAAGAATATAGTCTTCTTTTTACTATCTTTCTTAATATATATAGAGTTAAAAGTAGTAATAATATTAATAAAAGTTATAATCTATATCTTAGCTATTCTAGTAAGAGTCTTCTTAATTACTAGTAGTGTATTATAGTTTTTATATATAACTACGTTAAGCTCTTAGTAATTAATATAAATATAAAGTCTATCTAAAAGCTTTTTAATAACTAGAATAGATAAAGCGTATAGTAATATACTAGGTTTAATAAAACCTTTACTAATTATTTTATTAATATATATCTTTACTACTATTATCTCTTTTTATATAAGCCTATATATATATAGCTTAGAAATAGTAGTATCTAGTTTAATATTAATAATATAGTTAATACTAGAATAGTATAAAGATAGAATATTAGCTAGCTATAGGCTAAATAAGTTAGAAAACTAGTTAAGAATATATATAGAAATAAGCTTATATATCTACTTATTACTTATTAGTAGACGCTCTATCTTAGATATATAGTATTTAAAATTCTTTTATATTACTAATATAAAGCTTATAATTTAGTCTTTAAAAGTAAAGAGGTTATAGTTATTTATAGATAGATTTTTAGATTACTTACTCTTATTAAAATAATAGAGCTCTAGCTAGACTATAGAATCTAGATTCTTAGTAGTAGCTAGATAGATAGTATT